CCCCCCCCCCCCCCCATCGCCACGTCAACAGTCATAAGGCACTTGAACGATTATTCGGCTTTTAATCTCCGGCCACCGTACTCTTAGAAAAGTACGACCAAAACTGATGAATAGCTTAAAATTACCCAAATGAGTGAACGGTCCCTTTAACCCTTTCTCAATTGAAGTATGTAGAGTTCCACCCCCCTGCCCCCCCCCGTGGTTTTTTTCTCTCTAACTTAAAAACAACTAACACTATAAAATAAAGGACCCAAACTTCCTCACTTCTTGATTAGGAGCATATTTGCCCCCGAGTTTTTTTGTTCATGCAATATTATGTTTTTAAAAATCCAACGTATAGCCCAATCGAAAAAGCGAAAAATTGGTGCTTAGTTAAATAAGGACAAAAATTGTAATCTAAGGCACAGCTTTCCGGGCCGAAGACCGAACTGTTAAATTAGGGTGTCCTATCTATTGTAAACCTTTTTAAAGTTAGAATTGTGTTTTTAAATAAATTTGAATTGTTTACCTAGAGCTAGCAGGTATTGTCCTATAGTTCTAAGATCACAGCTGTCCATTCCACTGACATGTTCAAGGTGTAGGCTGGTCAAGGACCCGGCACGACCCATCAAACATACACTCAAATTACTCTGCCTGCAATAAATAAATGTGCAGTGGGGCCAATATTGTGTTCCTAATCAAGGAAGAAATCCACCAACATGATTAGGTAAATCGGTAACCGCCAAAAAAGTTCTCTTAAAAAACGTTTTTGGAAATAAAGTCCTAAATTTTGGCACTCTAAAAGTCATTGGGAAAAAAAGTTCTAAAAAAAATCTCTGGAAATAAAGTCCAACCATTTTGAGACTTTATTTTCTAGGCCTTTTTTTCTGGCTCCAGTATGATTTTATACAAAAAAGTCTTCAGAAAAAAGTTCTTGAATTGTGGAAAATGCATTGGAACAAAGGATGTTTATAACTATGGAAGGAAGAGACTGAACATTAAAAACGCCCCTGGCTATATTGAATACGCAGATGCAAAAAAAAAGTTCTTTTTATGAAAACTTCTAAGAATTGACCTCATTTTCCGAAAGTTTTTTTTTATCATTTCCCATGACATGGTGTCCTGGGACTGCCAAAAATTGGGACTTTTTAATCAAAGTTTTTAATTCTATAGGTTTTTTCCCGGAAACTTTTTTCCTGTGACTTTCTTATACATAGATTCGGAAAATCCGACGTCCAATAGTTCCGGTGACAAAAAACAGGAAGAAAACTTCTCACCCTTCTCCTCATATATATTCACCGCACTGGTTTAAATGTGAAATAAGTGGTTCCACTTAGTCTACATAGTTCAGCTACTTATTGCTATTCATTAAATTAGGTCCAATGATAATCATCTGTGCATACTTTTTAAAAAAGGGAGTGTTCTTGAAAAATAAATGGTACGACTGTAGTTAGATCCAGATATATATAGATTAGGCAAGTTCTCTAGTCTATCTGTAGTTAGATCCAGATATATAGATTAGGCAAGTTCTCTAGTCTACCTGCAGTTAGATCCAGATATATATAGATTAGGCAAGTTCTCTAGTCTATCTGTAGTTAGATCCAGATATATATAGATTAGTCAAGTTCTCTAGTCTACCTGTAGTTAGATCCAGATATATATAGATTAGTAAAGTTCTCTAGTCTACCTGTAGTTAGATCAGATTAGTCAAGTTCTCTAGTTTACCTGTAGTTAGATCCAGATATATATAGATTAGTCAAGTTCTCAAGTCTACCCAAAGTATGAAGTTTTGTCCGAGTACTGACACATCTAATATTAAAAACATATTGTAAGGAAACCCATTAAACAGTGGAATAGGAAGACGATGGAAATTGGTAATTTACAATGGTTCCCTAGAATCCTTGTTCTGGCCAATAATGTCGTTTTCTAAGTTTTAAAGTGTTTAATTCTGTTAATTCCTGTATGTTTTCTTGCAAAAGAAATGCACAAAAGTCACATTTTTCGATCCAACTGATACATGCTAGAGCCATTTGCAAATCGCATTTTTTCAATAGTTGATAAAGTTCTTTGTCGAGAGAATTTATATAAAAGTTTAATTTTACAAGATAAGTCTTTTTTAGAACTCTTAATGTTTCTTTTCACGATTCAAGTTTTGTAATCCGCTAACCTTACAAGCCAGAGATATTAGTTTGCAGTAAACTTAATAGTATTTATGGATGCAAAAATATTCAAAACTACATTTTCTGATTTATAACATTTTCATAAATTCAACGAATATTTTGGAAAGATATACAAATCAGTATTTTTTGTTTTATAAAATTCATAATTATTTTTAAATTATTTTTCAAAAATGAATTGTATAAACACATATCATCGCCATTTTTACTTTCTTTGTATTTTGCATTTAAAAAGCATGAAAATTATACCTTAACTCCAATTTAATCAGACTTGAACATGTTTCAACTAAAAAAAATCATTTAAAAGTTAGGTTTTTTTAATATTGGTGATATTCGGTATTATTGTTAAAAAGTGAATAAGCATAACGTGTCAGAGAAAACAGAATAAAATCGATAAAAGTAAAAATGTATGTAAAAAGCATCTTTGTTTCTGATTTGTAAATATGGAAGAAAATGAAATTGTTTAAAAATGCTTTTACCTATTTGATGTATGTCTGTCTGACATGAGTTCTTTATAGTAAGTTGCTTAATTACCGACCCAGTCTCTTTGTCTAATAGTACAAGCTTAGGCTGAACCCATGTTTTATGATTCTCACTGTTTCAAAACAAGAAATATTTTCTTTTGAATTTTGAACGTTAAATAATTACTGGATTTACTTTGAGTTTAGATATATATTTTTTAAATATTTAAACCAGGACAAAGTTTGATAAATTTGAGGGGTAGTTGAACTACCTACTGTCGGTTCAAATTGCAATCACGGATTCAAATTCTGCCTGACTCATTATCTTTGACTCGGTGAATTAAATTTGACCCAGCAGTATGTAGTTCAGCATCGTAGCTCAATTTTGTTAAATTCGGTCCCAGCATTCATTTAATCTTATAGCGCATGGTTCAATTAAAAGTTTTCATGAATTTCCCAAATTCCTAGGTATCTTGGAAATTTCCCAAAAACCTGGGTATCTGGGAAATTTCCGAAATGCCTGGAATCTGCAGGAAAATTCCCAAATTCCTGGGTAATTGGGAACTCCTTAGATCTCCCTAAAATTTCCCAAAGGCCTGGGCATCTGGGAAATTTCCCAAATGCCTCAGTTTTTGGTAAACTCCAAAATATCTTTTGAGAAGTTTCCAAAATCTCAAACTTATACCAGCCACAAATTTCTATGGGAATTAAAAAAAATTCGGGAATTTCCCAAATGCCTGGTAAATTCCCCAAATGATTAATGATCTAATCATTTGGGAAACTTTCAAAATCTTAAAAATATACCAACCTCAAATTTAAATTTTCCAAATGCCTGGATATCTGGGAAATTTCCCAAATGCCTAGATTTAAAATAAATTCCCTAAATTCCTTAAATAATCTGAGGGTAGTTTATTTATGTTTAGCTTAGCTATTTGGGAGATTTTCCAAATTCCCAGAGGTTTGGGAAATTATCTAAATATGCAGTCATGTGAAAAATTTACAAAATCTTAAAATATACCAACCTCAAATTTCTATAGGAATTTGGGAAGTTTGGGGAATTCACCAAATTCTTTTTCTCAAAAGTATAATTACTGTCGTGTCATGACATTTAGGCATTTGAGAAATTTCCTGTATTTGAAAAAAAAACTGCCCTCAGATTCTTAAGAGTTCAGGGAATTCCCCAGATTCCCAGGTGTTTGGGAAATTCCTTTGATTCCCAGGCATTTGGGGAATTTCCCTAATTCCTATGGGAATTAGTGTTTATTTTTGAGATTTTAGAAATTTCACAGGTAGACAGAAGTTTCCTATAATTGAAAAATTAAATCATATTCATATTCTTTACGGAATTTGGGAAACTTCCCTGATTCTCAGGCATTTTGGGAATTTTCCAGATTATCAGGTATTTTGAGAATTTCCAATTTTTACCATTTTAATGATTGCTGTCACTCCCTATGCCAAGGTAATCAGAAGTGACGTTGGCAAAGAAAATATCAACCGTTTTGAAAATTAAATTAAAGATAAATTTAATTAAAACTTACAAAATGTGTGGGTTTAAAATATTGAATTTCAAATGGTTACGCTTCAATCTCAATTTGCTTTGATATTGAACTCTTGAGTTTACTAATGAGAAACAAGATATCAATTAGCAAAAGAATTTAAAATTACAACACAATAAAGTTATTGCCCAAGATTATTTAATCTTTTCTGCGGTTGGGCTTTTGTTTAATTTAGGTTGGGGGAGGGGGGGAGGGAAATAGTGGATTCTAATTCGATAGATTGGACTGTGACAAATGTGAAACTGTTCACATTTTTATGATTTACTCTTTTTTGAAAAAATAGTTGCGTCAATTCAGTTGTCAATTTGTCAGGATGATGGGAACGGAAAGTTTGAAAAATATTCTTTTTTTATTATTAAATTGTATAAAAATACTTAGCAATACCAATATTTTTTAAAGGTTTTTAAAATGTGAAAAATGTTGTTGATAATACTGTTAAGCTAAGAATCGACAAGAATGTAAATTTTGGGACAAAACCTTCTTAACCTTCTGAAGCTAAGATACAAAAGAGTGACAATTTGGACCCCCCCCCCTTCCCCCTGAACAAATAGCTAAATGAAATGAAATATATCCTGCATGTATCGACACATCTTCAGTCATATTTTTATTTTCAGTTCTAAAACCGCCAAAAAACAACGTAACAAATATTCTTCATACCTTTAAATACCATGCGTAAATTCAATTAAAAAAATATAAAATAGCAAATATTAAAAATCTTCTTTCAGCGGGTGTAGAAAGGTTCCAAAGTCACCTTTACAAAAGTTATAAAGAGTTTAAAGCCATATATTCCTAGTAGTTGAAAGTTGTGAAAAAGTCCAATGGATTCAAAACATTTCTTCTTCTGAAGGAAAAGCAAGAACGTCTCCTCCTCTATGCTGGTTCCACTTGAAATTAACAATATTAAAAATGCATTTCAAAGTGTAGTATAAAGGATGTCTTTCTTTTATAAAAGTACACTTTTTAAGCAATGAGAAAAAAGACAAATATATACTAGGGTTTCATTATATTGATATAATCGCATACCACTGTGCATTGTTAAACAATAACAAATAAAGTTTACGTATCCCTTTAAAACTTTTCACTCATAATCTTTACCTAAAATCAATGGACGTGAGTTCTTTCAAGTTTTCTATAAACTTTAAACTTTTATCAGATACATTCACTGAACCTGAATAAAAACTAATAAGTTTAAAAAATATATTCGAAAACGCTTAATTTCCTCAAACTCTAATATTCTAATCCTTTTATTTTTACTAGATATTTAAATTCTTAAAGTATAAATTCTGATAGTTTAAAACACCATTAGGTTGCAAATATATGTTGATTTCTTTAAGTTTCTTTAAATTCAACTACAAACTGTCTAAATACTAAATAATGCATTAAAAGCAACATCTATAGAGATTATATTATCTTTCTAAACAAAAAAAGAAGATATCGCAAAAAAATAAGATTAGTCACATAAAAAGTGATTTAATCAAAATAAAGGCAAGAAAGAGTTTATATTAAACAAGAAAAATTTGACCTTGAACATCGAGTTTCAGTAACTTCTTACAGTAGAGACCTAAATAAAAGTCTGTTTTTTTATTTGCTTTAGAGTAAGGGGGTGGGGGATGGGGACAGATGAATCTCTTTGATCAGAAGGATTTTATACTTTGATGACACATGAAAGAACTTAATATATATTTATATTTAAAAGCGTATTGGAAAATTGGAGCAAAGACAAAGCATGTCGAATAAACTGATATAAAAAAGGGAAGGAAGGTTAACCACAACAAGTTCTCGTCCGAGCCACGTTCTCCTTATTTTATCGCCTGAACTGCCTCTCCATCCTCGTTATTTTATTATTATATTTTATAAATGTCCAATCCTTGATGATTAAACCATTTTTAGAAAATCTGGCCACGTTGGGGCATACAATATGATAAGACTTACGTGAATTGTTATGATTGACTACGCCATGTTTAAAACTTCAGAACTTTACATTTTCTGATTTACTCATAGTGAATATTTCGTTATTATGCTCTGTCCTGTCAAGATAAAAAAAACATGGTGACTTGGACGAGAAAATTGTGAGAAAAAGGCCTCGGATGAGAAAATGTTGTAGCTTTAACTGTCATCGGAGAGACCTATATGAAAATTAAACCATTAAGAAGTGAATGGGTATCTCCGATGAAAGGGGGGTTTCCTGTATAACCGCAAGGGAAAGGGGCGTGGGCCTAACACTAAGACTTAAATTGTGATAATTTCTTCCAAAAAGCAGATTTTTAAGTCAAACTATATTCCTACCAAAAAACAGATTTTTTAAAGTAAAACTATTTCTTATAAATCTGACCTAGTTTTGACAAGAAGAAATCATCCGCAAGATTCTGGAATATTAATTCCCTAAAACAATTAATAAACACATTATATTAATAACAAAACAATAACAATAAATATTTAAACTTGTCGTTTAAACTTCGATCCTCATTTTTTCATTTTTAATTTCATATTATAGCATTTTAAAAATTGTTACAAAGAAATTTAGTTTCTTTCAAATGTAATATGTTTGATTATTTTTTTTTTTGCTAAGATCAATAATAGATATTTTATCAGCTTGATAGGATTACCTAAGATGAATGATATTGCTGAATATTCGATCAGTTTGATAGGATTACCTAAGATGGATGATATTGCTGAGTATTCTATCAGCTTGATAGGATTACCTAAGATGGATGATATTGCTGAGTATTCTATCAGCCTGATAGGATTACCTAAGATGAATGATATTGCTGAGTATTCTATCAGCCTGATAGGATTACCTAAGATGAATAATATTGCTGAGTATTCTATCAGCTTGATAGGATTACCTAAGATGAATTATATTGCTGAGTATTCTATCAGTTTGTTCGACTGTGAAAGTTTCTGCCCAGGGTTTAGGACCAGCTAGCCGTAGATTCAATTTCACCAAATTCGGCATTCTAAACATTGAAACACAGTTTGCATATTTATTGATTTGTTTGTTTTTATCCAATAAACGTCAATTAACGACTGAACTGGTTGGGACGAAATGTTTTTTGGGACTTTACATGACCCCAAAACCTTGCCCTGACAGATTTTTCAAAATCCACGAAAAGTTTCGATAAATCATGGCAAAAATGTTTTGTAATTGTTTGATAGTTTAAGAAGAGAAAATATGTTAGGCATGAAGATTAGATAAAAAATATGAAGAACTACTAATTTTGTTATATTTAAAATCTTTAATATTACATACCAGGCTTTGGCAATACTTTTTTTGCAAATTTGAAAATCCAGTAATTCAGCAAAAACTGCGAAAATGGCAAATCATACATTTTGAAAAGCCCTAAATCAGAGCTGAAAACTTTAGAATGAGATATCCTTAATCCCGAATACTTAATCTGAGTATCCAATGACACACTTTTGATTTTCTTCTTAAACCGTTCTTTCTTGGATATAGTAGAGAAAAATCAAAAACCTGTTTTTCTAAATTTTATATACGCGACTGTGATTGGTTGAATTTTGTGCACTTTTCCGGATACAAGTACAAGATTAGGTTAGTCTCGATATTAAGAAAAAGAGAGGATCACGCATTAATCTCGATTTCCACCATTCTAAAGTTTTTAAATATGGATAATTTAATTATATGTAAAAATATATGTCAAAACTTCCAAACCTAGAATAAGAAAAGTAAAAAAAAATTAAATTATCATTATCATGGTATATCATAGTAGAGAACAGTTTTCTCCCTGCTTAGAAAGCATGAACCATGTTTGAGTATTTTATACCTTGCCTCCCTTCAACCAGTAGGGTTATAAATATTTATTAGTGACTAAGGCCGAATCCCTTGAATAATATGTAGGAGAAGAAGATATTATGGAGATTTGGGAATTTGGGAGGAAGTTTGCTAATGGTAGATGTCAAAGTCTACTACAGTCAACAAGAATGGGTTCACATCCTTAGCATGGACTTAGCTATAGCTTATGACTTTAAATTGTCCAATGAACGAGAAACGCAGCCATTTTAATCTTTAATAGTTGATCTTCAAGCACTGTTAAAATGATCACAATTACAGCATTGAAGCAATATTCTCTTTGGTCCACTGTAGGTTAATCTTTCTTTTTTAAGTAAAATTTAAAGCTACATTTGAAGTTGCAAACTGCAATTAGATTTCTGGAATCAGAAGGCCGAAGTATTTTCATTAAAAATTTGTATTATTAGGTCTGGAAAAAAATACAAATATTGATATAAATAATTTTGGGGGAAAATATTTTTCCTAAATAATTGTGTAACACAAAATTCAAAAAAAACTTTTAATGTTTTTACAATGTTTTATTGTTTAATTATTCATCATGAGCACTCGAGTTACGACCAACCTAACCTGTGAAAAGTAAATAAAAATTTTGAGTCTGAAGTTGAATTTGCCTTTCAAAAGTAGACAGCAACTTTTCTTCTGAAAACTAAAAAATATTTGCAGTTTCGCAATTTCCTGAGAAGAAAACTTTTGTCAAATTAAAAAAAAGAAATAAAACAAAAAATCTTTTAAAATCACCTGTTTAGATTAAGAATTGTTTGTATTCTAAAATTAGGACCCATCCTGATAATAATCAAAATTAATGCAAATTTAAAATATGCATCATGGGTTACCACATGATAAGACTTCAGAGACAGCTGTGCTGAATCTATATACTGTCTGTTTCTTAGTATTTAAGATTCACTGCAACTGTTAACTTGTTTCTTTTTACTGCCCAATCATTGAAAATGCCAAAAAAAAAGACTTTATCTAATAGGGGCCTTAATTCAACCTTGAAATCGTCATGTTTTTTAGTTTTAAGTCGTCTTCGTAGTCTCATCCATAGTGGTTAACCCTGTATATCAAGAACTAAAATATTTTCTTGAATATATTACATAAAACTTTGGAATTTAAAGACGAAATGTGTTTGGTGATTTGATCTTGTGATCAATCAAATAGTTTTACCATTAGCAATTTAAAATCAATATATTGGGTTTTGTGACACAATTCCTGTGTTTCATAGTCATTTGAACTATTTAAAATAGTAACTTGAGTCTAAAAATCATCTTCCTATTACAGTTTTATTATAAAATTTCCCGCTTTCCTTACTTACAACTTTTCAGTAACCTGGTAATTTTTGTATACATCTTTTGAAAAATACACAACTGAAAAAAGGAATATCTCCTATTTTTATTTTTTATTTGCAAAGACAAAAAGGTGGGATAAGAAGCAACATATCAATAATAATTTACAAAGGAATTGAGTCTTTGTAACAAAATCAAATATTTAAACCCCAATATCTTTAGAACCCGATGTTGTAAACCTTTGATATTTCAAACTCTGATTATTTGATTTAACAGAATTCATAGTTTGAAATATCTAAGGTCTACAACATTTGGTTCCAAAGATATAGTGATTAGAAAATCAGAGTTTGTGACAAAGACTCATTTCCTTTCCAAATTATTTGCGACAATTCATGGTTAAAATAATAAAGACAACATACTTCCTCAATTTTCTGGTTATCACTCAAATACCTGTCAAAATCCAACCATTTTACCATTTCGCTTTGTAGCTCTTTAACCTGTAATAAATGATCTTGATCCAAAACTATCTGAAACTTAAAGAAAATTTCAACTAAAACGTAATTTCAATTGATCCTCAATGCAAAGAGAGCAATGTCCGATTCACAACGGTACTCTAAATTTAATCTTGTTTAGAGATCTCTGTGAGTATATTCCTTGAAAACTGCTTGAATTGATAAAAAAAGAAAGAAGGCACTAAAAGTAAACTTATAACAAAAGATTTAGGGTACAAGATTGGAAAAAATTAAAGTAACAAAAGTTAAAATCACATTTATAGCCAAATTTTGTTTTATTTCATTTATGTATGGATGTTTTTAGAAGCCATATTATTGAAATTAAAACATAAATAATTTTGATTAGAACTAACCAGAAAATCATCAATTGGTTGGCTATTCAAGATGGCAGATCTAGACCATGTGGATCTAAAATAGAACACAATATTATTTTAGACCTCGTGGATCTAAAACTGAACACAATATTATTCAAGATGGCGGATATAGACCTCTTGGATCTAAACAGAACGTAATATTATTTAAGATGGAGGATCAGGACCTCGTGTAGATCTAAAACTGAACACACGAGGATGTAAAATAGAACACAATTTTATTCAAGATGGCGGAACTGAGCACAATATTATTCAAGATGGTAGATCTAGATCCTGTGGATCTAAAATTGATCGCAATATTATTGAAGATAGCGGATCTAGACATCGTGGATCTAAACTGTACACAATATTATTCAAGATGGTGGATCTGGACCACATGGATCTAAAAAATTTATGTATGGATGTTTTTAGAAGCCATATTATTGAAATTAAAACATAAATAATTTTGATTAGAACTAACCAGAAAATCATCAATTGGTTGGCTATTCAAGATGGCAGATCTAGACCATGTGGATCTAAAATAGAACACAATAATATTTTAGACTTCGTGGATCTAAAACTGAACACAATATTATTCAAGATGGCGGATATAGACCTCTTGGATCTGAACAGAACGTAATATTATTCAAGATGGAGGATCAGGACCTCGTGGATCTAAAACTGAACACACGAGGATGTAAAATAGAACACAATTTTATTCAAAATGGCGGATCTAGACGTCGTGGATCTAAAACTAAGCACAATATTTTTCAAGATGGTAGATCTAGATGGTGTGGATCTAAAATTGAACGCAATATTATTCAAGATAGCGGATCTAAAACTGTACACAATATTCTTCAAGATGGTGGATCTGGACCACATGGATCTAAAATTAAACGCAATATTATTCAAGATGGTGGATCTGGACCACGTGGATCTAAAAAAGAACACAATATTATTCAAGATGGAGGATCTAGACCTTGCATGGATCTAAAGTTAAACACAATATTGTTCAAAATGGTGGATCTGACCATGTGGATCTAAAACAGAACACAATATTATTTCAAGATAGTGGATCATGTGCATGAGTTTTTTTTCTTTTAATTAATATGAGTCTATGACATGACTTTTAGGTAGCTATAGCAAGTTGTGATTAGCATATGTAACACACAGACAAAACAGAAAACAGGACTATACACCTAGAATGAATTATCCCTTCATAATTCCTTTATTTTCTTATGAAACGAATATTTTAAAGTTTAAAAATAGCAAACTTTAACAGAATATACAAATTTGAAATTCTGAAAGTTTTATTTAAAGTTGATAAAAAAACAGACCAAAATGATTAACAACCCTACTTTAATTAGCTTTTAGAAGAAGTTGAAATTACCGATATTGCTTTGTATTGCTCTTGCTTTGTATTCATGTTCAGGGCATGTTCCACGAAATATTACAGTTGGTGAATAGTTTAAAATGTCGTCTTCCATAATTTGAAAAGTTTTTTGATACTAAAGAGACTGATAACATTTTTTATATGATAGTTATACAATAGTAAAATTGATTTCACAGTAAAATATATACGAGTTGAACATTTTTTTAAAGAAATGAAGTGCAAAAAGTCTTTAATGTATAAAACAGTATGTGGAAGAAGACATTCAAGACTATACACCAACTGTCATGTTTCGTGGGACACCATGTATGTGAAATTGGCTATTTTTTTTTTAACAAACGTTTACAGAAATTGAACACTCGGCCCAAACTATAATTTCCTAAGCCCTACCTCTCTCAACTAAGCTTTCGGTGTGTATTGAAGGACTTTCCTGTACACTGACCGAAGAAATAGTGAGGTTTAGTGGAGATTGTTAAATCTTTGAAAACATTAGAAATGTTAAACTTAAATTAATTTATCTACCAGAACTGAAAACTTGGATACCCTTAATACCGATCGCTTAATCTTAATATCCACTGTGAACACTTTTGATATCTGCTTAATCCGCTCTTTTTCACTTGTTTTGGATATCCCTACTGGAATCCGACCAACGAGAATTTCAAAGTTCAAATTTCCCGGCTTCTGATCGGCTGTTTCTGTAAACGCCACTCTGATTGGTTGAATTTTTTTTTACACTTTTCTGGATAGAAACTAAAGATTAAATTAATCTTGAGATTGACAAAAAGAGGAGATCGAGCATTGATCTCAACATCCACATCCGGTACAGAAAAGACGAGAACGAAATTTGTGAACCGGATCACACAATGTGAAAGATATAGGGATTAGAAAATAATTGTGGCGATTGTTCATTTGCAATCTTAATAACAGTATTATCAAATTATAAAAATATATAAAGATAAACCTGCCTTAGTATTTCCTGTGTTAGGACTGTTGTATATTTTGACGGCAAGGAAAGAAGATTTTTCAGAGATTTTCTCATTCTTTTTTTCTCCTGAATGAAATTTATCTTATTGTTGAAAATTGTTACGTAAAATGAAATGACATGAAATGACATGAAATGACATGAAATGACATGAAATGACATGAAATGACCTGTATACTACACTTTGGATAGGACTGTATAAGCTGTAAAAGTCTCCCAAGTCCTAGAGTCTCCAGAGGTCTAGGACTAAAAATAAAAGTAAAAAATATTTTAGATTATATTTCAGTAAAAAGAGCTGAAGAGCCTGGCGTTGCTCGTGGAATTTCAAAAAAAACATTGGATAAAAAATAATTAAAAAAATAGAAAAATTGTCAACGACGATTACCTATTGGTTCCAAGCCGTTTGGCCAACTATAACCAACATATGTAAATATTGTGCGAAGAGTTTTATTATATAACAGTTAATTAGGGTTTTATTATATAACAGATAATTAGGGTTTTATTATATAACACATAATTAGGGTTTCCAATCTATACAAATCAATTCCAGACAGAAATATTTTGCATAAACTTTTCCAAAAGGAATTGAGCTTCTTTGCCACAAATTCAAATTTTTTAATTTCAATATCTTCGCAATCTGATTTGTAGGTAGACCTTCCATATTTCAAAGTTAGATTATTTGATCTAACAGAATTCATAGTTTGAAATATTTATGGTCTTCGTCATTTGGTTTCAAAAATAAAAGGAATAGAAAATCTGTGTTTTTGGCAAAGACTCAATTTCTTGATAACGAACAATTGTTTATCAAAGCACGAATAAACTACCATTTAATGTTCTTTGTATTTGTCAAACGTATACAAAACGTGTAACTTTACACAGGAGAGGAGGGGCTCAGCACCCTGTTGGGACGGGTCAAACTTTTTTTTCTGATTCTGGGGGGGGGGGGAGCTAAGCCCCAATAGCTACCTCCTTTTAATTACTATGTGTTTACATATTTATAATATTTGTATATTTGTTTTACCTGAAAACTGGTTTAGTTTTCAACCATTTCTCACACTGTAATCTTGGACACTCTGTAAAGAAAATCAAAATTATAGAATATCTTAACAATTAAATAAATCTTTTACCTTGAGTCATCTTGAAATTGAAGAAGGCTGGTTCCTTTTTTAGAAAACACTTCCTTTTAAGACACAAGGGATCACTTCCTTTCAATATGTAAACCTTATAAGTTTAGCTTGGATTGAAGAGTTTACTAAGAATTCACTCTCTTTATGCGAAAGGGAACTAGAGTCTTACACGGAATTGAAACTGCACAATGAGCCCAATGGGGGACAACATATTTCAGTCATATAACAATAAGTAGGTCGATGAGTGAACTGGGTTAAAACTTTGACATTTTTCAGCCATCTACGTGCAAAAAGCTTTTTCTGCATGTGACGCTTCTGAATTTTTAATTGAAAACAATTTTTGTATACCCTAAAGCATAGATTTTGTAAAAGCAAAAGAGCCATTTTTTAGATAAACCTTGGGAAAGATAAAGTTGTGAACAGTTGGATATATATGCAAAATTAGGATTTTAGGATCTCCATGGATTTGCAAAAAATATAGGGATCTGAGGAAGAATTCAACCAAGACCAGGATCCAGGATCCAGATCTTGATCCGAAAGAAAAAGAAATAAATGCTTGAAGTACTGCTTTTATATTTATAAGGCAAATTTTATTTCTTGTCACATTTAATTTATGTACATATATTTGAATCTGAGATATCAACCAAAACCAGGATTCAGGATCTAGATCTTGATCCGTAATATTGGGATCTAAGGAAGAAAGTATCAACCAAAACTAGGATTCAGGATCTAGATCTTGATCTGTAATATTGGGATCTGAGGAAGAAAATATCAACCAAAACCAGGATCCAGGATCTAGATCTTGATCCGTAAGAAAATGAAATAAATGCTTGAAGTACTGCTTTTATATTAATAAGGCAAATTATATTTCTTGTCACATTTAACTTTTGTACACATATATTTGAATCTGAGCTGAGGTGGCCTAGCTCTGAAGGCAGGGGTAGCTTTTGCAACTAGATTAACATGGTCTGATTTTAGGCTGCATCTGGTTAAACTTAAACTCTCTTAAGCGGTAATTTTACATGTTGTGAATACTTTGAAATTTTTCTTTTGGGTAAGTAGAGTAGGGAGGGGGTGCAGAGTCGCCATGAGCCCTGCAAAATCACCTCCTAGCCAATCACAATCATCCCCGTGCCTCACACTATACGTCTCTGAGTCTCCGCAACTCTTATTCTTACATGACTTTTTAAGACAAATTGATTATGTATTTTAGTAAACTTTTTATTCACGTTGAGATTTTTTGAAAAAAAGTTTTTTTGTGGATGTAAAAGCCATATATTTGTTTTTGGGGATAAGAATGCTGTACTTGGAGTAAGAGTTGCGGAGGCTCGGAGATGTAGCCTTGAGGCATGGTGATGACTTTGATTGGCTGTAGGAGGTAATTTTGACATAAACCGCTTATTCGAACCAAGGTGTAATTGAGGGATATGATTTTGGAAGGTAAATTGTATGCTTACTGTGACATATTATGATTACCTAGGAACTGGTTCCAGGTAGTTAAATAACATCGGTCAGAAAAGTTCCGAATATTTATTATAAAACTTCAGTTTCCAGCAATCCAAATCCATCATATGTGTATAGTATAATATACAACCTCCCCCCACCCCTCCTCCCAACCTCCCTATACATTACGTCTGTAAAAGTAACTTCCGCATATCTAAATTTTATCTTTGTCCCTAAATTGATGAATATTGACTCACTGTGTAGTTTCCTGAGGGTACTATCCAAAAATTGATGAATATTGACTCACTCTGTAGTTTCCTAGGGGTACTACTACTATCCCTAAATTGATGAATATTGACTCACTGTGTAGTTTCCTAGGGGTACTTTCCCTTAAATGCCAACGCAGCAAAATAGGCCTTCGCACGAGTTCTAGATTTTGAAGAAAAAACAAACAAACAAAAAGCACCTGGATTCTAAGATCATTTGAAAGGGGGTGGGGGAAGGGGAAAGGCGGCCCTGAAATTGGTGGATGGGGAAGGGTATGGGGGTTCTGAAGGAGTTAATATAAAGCTTATATAGATAGATATTAGATACGAACTAATTTTAAGCCTTTTTACGTATTTGATTTAGCAAGCAAAATATCCGAGCATTTCCCACTCTTCTGAATTTCCCTCTGAAAAGTATATTTTTTATGTTNCCCCCCCCCCACGTTGAAGATACCGATACGACGACTTAAACTAATTAAATATAGACGATCTAAACGTTAAATTTGTGAAGAAGAAAAAATAAGAAATTCTAAAATGAAGTTTAAAATAAACCATATTGTCTGAAAAAAACATTTGATGCGTAGAGTTAGTTATATGTTTTGTATTTTCAAGCAAATAGTTTCTTACACAATTTTATACGTTTTTTAAAGTCAATTTATTTTTTCATAACCTCGCAGAGCAGAATAATATTTACTTTTTTACCTCTCGGGACAAGTAAGTTGCATTAATTACCCAAACAAATATACAACTAGCTTGGAAACCCACCGTTGCATAGAGTTTTCTGTATAAAAAGTCAACGAAATCAGCAATTCGAATTTTTAAACCAGGTAAGTGAACATTCCCGTGGTTCTACCGAGTTCCCTAATCAAAATTGAAGACAAGTCGGTTCAGGATTTTACGAGTTATGATCGTCCATACAAACTGCAAAAAAAAAGAGATTACTACTTTTTATATTACAACGATTATCTTCAAGTAATTTATGAATGTCGTCTTCTAAAGACCGTGCTTTACAATGTTGATATCTATCTAAGTTTAAGAAAAATAAACATTTGTAAATTTGTAAGCTTTGTTCAGAAATCAGAAAACAGTTTGTAAAATGTCGTTTTTGTTATTCCGTTTACTTAAGAAATGTTGCAAAATAATTTTGTAATTTGCAACTAATATATATGTACGTTATACGTACGTATCTCTTAAAATGTTCAGAAGTCAGATTTTTAGTGTTGTAAATTTCAGATTAAGCATTGATTAATTTATTAATAAGATATTGATATTAAATTCCTCTTCGATATCCCGTGTATGGTGATCAAACCAATTAAGAGACCAAGCATTAAACCTCAAGTTTAGAAATGCCCACATTAAATATCCAGATCAAGATTAACGATGCTTCACACAAAAGTTGTATTTTCAGTATCATGCGCTCTTATAAGAACTGCAAACGTAAGTTCAAGTGACAACATTTATTTGATTAATTAGTGTGAAAGATGTCGTCGTTTTTCCATCTAAAATAATATTGTATTTTGTAAATTTCGTTCTTTGTCTCTACTTTTGGTAGAGAAACCATAGTTAAAGAAATTATAAATTATTTTATATAACAGGTTTTTAGAATATCATTGTGAATCTGACATTAGTTGGATTTACGTCTGTCTCTTAAAGGAATTAATTCTTAGCCACATATCCTGATTTTCTAATTCTCATATCTTCGCAACCCAATATTGTAGATCTTAGATGTTTCTAACTTTGAATTCTGTTAGATAAAACATTTAAGTTTAAAATATCAAGAGTCTACACCATAAGGTTGCCAAGATATAGGGATAAGAAAAATTTGAGGTTGTGATAACGGAGCTCAGTTTCTTTACTATAGAATTTATTAAGTCATTTAAAGATTATATCATTATATAGTTTAAGAAATAAGGATCTCTCTCTCTCTCTCTCTCTCTCTCTCTCTCTCTCTCTCTCTCTCTCTCTCTCTCTCTCTCTCTCTCTCTCTCTCTCTCTCTCTCTCTCTCTCTCTCTCTCTCTCTCTCTCTCTCTCTCTCTCTCTCTCTCTCTCTCTCTNTCATAACATACGAATGATATGTGTATGTATTATATATCTCTATGTTACGGTTTCTATGTTTAACGTAACCTCAGCTAAACCTCAGCAGAGGTTAGGCCTAAACCCAACCAATTGTCTTATTAATTATTCATCTGGATTAAACTCACCACTTTCTACTGTCCTTCAAAAATGTACACATAACTTTAGATTTTTTTTTTAAATGGGAGACAAATGTTGTGTTAGCCTGTTAAGGACGTATCACTAACGCAAACTGGTCTTTGGCGTATTTCTGCCATTGTCCGGTTTACGGCGTATTGATGACATGCTACCGAGTTACGTGGATTCGTTGCTCATAACATCCATGTCAACACATGAAAATATACCCAGCAGTCATGCAAAACTACCAAATTCAATATTTCTAAAAATGTTAAATTAAAAGACCTAAATACTCTTTGAGGGTCAAAATTGAATTAATCCAACGTTTGACTGATCAATTTTTTAACATTATTCCAGAGTTTGAGATTAATCTCTTCCGTAGATTCCAGAGTTTGAGATTAATCTCTTCCGTAGATTCCGCGGTTTGAGATCAATCTCTTCCGTAGATTCCAGAAATCCGAAAATTCCGAGAATGCGGAAAATTTATATTTTCCCAAAAGCCTATTCAGAAAACTTCTAGAGGCTAACTAATTTTTCTTCTTTAGACAAAATTTACACAATAGAAGTAATATTTTGATCAATGTCTTCCTTTTCATGTTATAATAATTAAATGAACATTTTGACCTTCTCTTTTCTTTTAATTGAGTTTTAAATTTGGTCATTTTTAAGAATGTTTTGATCTTCTTTTGCTATTATAATTTAGCCTTTAACATAAATAGTTAGAGATATTTCTTTACCATTTTAGTTTTAAAATGATAACTCAGAGCTATTTCTTCTTTTAAATAATGTAACTTAAAACTTGATATACATTTCTTCTTTTGGTATTATAATGTAGACTTTAGAATAAATATTTTGACACCTATTTATTTTTTTTGATATTGTACTTAAATCTTTATAAAAAAGATATTTAGAGTTATATCTTCATTTGGTGTAATTTAGTTTTAAATGAATAGTATTTATTTTATTATGTGGTATAACTTATACAACAAAATGATACATTACCTATTTCTTCTTTAAGATGGTATAACTTAGACAACAAAATGATACATTAGACCTATTACTTCTTTTAGATGGTATAACTTAGACAACAAAATGATACATTAGACCTATTTCTTCTTTTAGATGGTATAACTTAGACAACAAAATGATACATTAGACCTATTTCGTCTTTAAGATGGTATAACTTAGACAACAAAATGATACATTAGACCTATTTCTTCTTTAAGATGGTATAACTTAAACAACAAAATGATACATATTAGACCTATTTCTTCTTTAAGATGGTATAACTTTGACAACAAAATGATACATTACCAATTTCTTCTTTAAGATGGTATAACTTATACAACAAAATGATACATTACCTATTTCTTCATTAAGATGGTATAACTTAGACAACAAAATGATACATTACCAATTTCTTCTTTAAGATGGTATAACTTTGACAACAAAATTATACATTACCAATTTCTTCTTTAAGATGGTATAACTTTGACAACAAAATGATACATTACCTATTTCGTCTTTAAGATGGTATAACTTATACAACAAAATGATACATTAGACCTATATCTTCTTTAAGATGGTATAACTATACAAAACAAATGATACATTAGACCTATTTCGTCTTTAAGATGGTATAACTTAGACAACAAAATGATACATTAGACCTATTTCGTCTTTAAGATGGTATAACTTAGACAACAAAATGATGCATTAGATCTATTACTTCTTTTAGATGGTATAACTTATACAACAAAATGATAAATTAGACCTATTTCGTCTTTAACATGGTATAACCTAGACAACAAAATGATACATTAGAACTATTTCGTCTTTAACATGGTATAACTTAGACAACAAAATGATACATTAGACCTATTTGGTCTTTAACATGGTATAACTTATACAACAAAATGATACATTAGACCTGTATCTTCTTTTAGATGGTATAACTTAGACAACAAAATGATACATATTAGACCTATTTCTTCTTTAAGATGGTATAACTTAGACATCATTACCAATTTCTTCTTTAAGATGGTATAACTTATACAAAACAAATGATACATTAGACCTATTTCGTCTTTAAGATGGTATAACTTAGACAACAAAATGATGCATTAGACCTATTACTTCTTTTAGATGGTATAACTTAGAAAATAGAATGACAAGTTTGAGGTTAAGTTTAAGCTTTTTTTACAGTGGATGTATAATAGTTCTACTATTCTACATAGTTCCTCCTGTTATTTCACAAGGCTGTGTCCAAGAAGGTATGTATGCCTAAAATCATTTGCGATTTATTTTTCATTGTTATATTAAGGGTGAAACTTTGCCACCAGACCAGAAGCAAAATTGAAGTAATATTTTAAATACAAAAAAATTGAAAAAATCAAAACTCATTTATAATAATTAACGATGCCGGAAATAGTGTTCATAAAGGAAAATCAATTTTTCTATTTTTTTTTCAAGTATTATTTTCGTTCTTGAATCGAGAAATCAGTATTTCGAGTTTTTCAAAAATAGATTTATTTATTATTAAAAAAGCTAGTTTTTTAATACTTTAAAACTCTGTGTTTAAAAGCGGAAATGAAGCTATTTGTTCTGACAAATTTTTTTTGGCTTACGTTAAAGTTTCCCCTACGGTCCTACCCCAACATTAAAGTTTCCCCTACAGTCCTCTCCAACATTAAAGTTTCCCCTAGCTACGATCCTACTCCAACATTAAAGTTTCCCCTACGATCCTACCCCAACATTAAAGTTTCCCCTACAGTCCTACCCCAAAATTAAAGTTTCCCCTACGGTCCTACCCAACGTTGATGTTTCCCCTACGGTCCAACCCCAACGTTAAAGTTTCCTCTACGGTCCTACCCCAACGCCCCCTTCCCATTTACTTTCTCTACCTCCCAGGGTCTCAAGGCTTTTTTCATATATTTGTACGAGTTAAAGAAGAAATTATGTGATATTATGTTTTTCTGTAACATTTACTCTTTGTCATATATTTTTTTTTCGTAACAGAAAATTGTCATTTTGGTTTAAAAGTACAATTTATTCTTTTCAAAAGTTAATCAATATTGACGGATGTAATTGTACATCCAAAAACGTCGATATCGACGGCTGTCCATGGCTCCAAATTGTAAAAAAAAAAATTGTTTTAGCCAATTCTGAAGAGGGAAAATGCTCTCGCCCATAATGTGTGAAAATTAAGTATAATTTTCCATATTCTTCTCTTAATTCCCAAAATATTAAGGTACTACTGGAGCCATAATATCCTATATTCCAATGTCTGGTGCCTATGGTCAAGAGAATATAACTGATGAGGTAAGCTATTATTTTCCAAATAATTCCCCAATTCTAAAGATGCAAATAATAATTTAAGTTATATATTCGAATTTCCGTGCTTAACCATATAAAGGCAGGTGGGGGNTTAGATTTGTTAAAAAGTTTAGGGGCTACTTTAGATTTGTTAAAAAGTTTAGGGGCTACTTTAGATTTGTTAAAAAGTTTAGGGGCTACTTTAGATTTGTTAAAAAGTTTAGGGGCTACTTTAGATTTGTTAAAAAGTTTAGGGGCTACTTTAGATTTGTTAAAAGTTTAGGGACTACTTTAGATTTGTTAAAAAGACTGAAGGAACTCTTTACTGCCCTGTACCCTAATACAGCCTATTTATTAAATTTTTTTTTCACAAAAAAACCCTTTAAACTTTTTTCCTTTAAAGAAACAAATTTTAAAGGTGATAGTGTCAAAAATTAGAGTACTAGGGCAAAAAAAACAGTTCCACTTCCCCCTATACTTTTGGATTAAAATAAGAAATACAAATTCTAAATATTCTGGTTCTAGGTTTGCTCTGCAAGTTGCGGCTATGCCCCTGAAGCAGTTGGCTATGGTAAGCAAAAATATTCTAAAGGACTGTTCATGTATAGGTTAAAGTAACCTTTTTGAAAGATTAAAAAAACGATTCACAACGGTACCCTTTAAATATTTATATCAGCAACATTGAGAATTAGATATTATCGTCTCTACCGTCAAACATAAAGGATTTGAGTCTATGCCACAAACTGAAATTTTATAATCACCATATCCTTTCAAGCTGATAATCCTTTGCTATTTCAAACTTATATTACTCGACATTGAGTTGACAAGATATAGATGGGATTAGAAAAGATATAGATGGGATTAAAACAGATGGGATTAGAAAAGATATAGATGGGATTATAAAAGATATAGATGGGATTAAAACAGATGGGATTAGAAAAGATGGGATTAGAAAAGATATAGATGGAATTAGAAAAGATATAAATGGGATTAGAAAAGATATTGATGGGATTTTACAATCTGAGTTTCTGACAAAGACTCACTATAGCTGCACGTACTAACTATTATAATCTTGTATGTTTTCAATCATAATTTCTCTTATTAAAGAGCTAAATTAAGAAGGATAAAAATGTTTAATGTTCACGGATAAATTTTCTTTTCTAATACTTAATGTGTGTAAAATTAACACTATAGAGGATCTACGAGGTCTAAAAGTAGAACCAATAATTTCGAAAAAAAGTCTCCATCCGGCTAGTTAGCAGTACTTTCTATCTAGAAAATTGTTATAAATTCTGAAGATATTTTATCTATATCTCTGCTGCATAACTTTGCAATCCACATCTATAGAAAAAAAACGATTATACCGGGTGGTGAATAAGGCACTTTTAAAATGGAGGTTTATTAGAAATCACGTCGACACTCGACACTCGACAGATGGACATCGTTTTCAGGTTCGTTTCTTGAACATTTAAAGTTTTGTTTTGCTATAAAGGTGCTCTAAATGAATCTGATCAAAGACATTAACAAATACAATTTACCAAAACGATTAAAAACGATTTTGCTGATCATTTTAAACAGAAAGTCTTTGGAAAGAGTTTTATAAAGTAAACACAACTTTTAAAAGTAAAAACCTCAAATGTTTTAAAACCATGGTCATTCCCTGCAGTTTTATTTTAAAGGAACACCATTAAGGAACATTGATTTCTGTAATTAATGTAATCATTGAAACCTTTGAAACTAAACTGATTTCAATTACAGGCTTAATTATAAGATTTATATTCGGTGACATGGAAACGCCTTAACACGGAAACGCCTCAAAATATCGGACTCATAAAACTAGTTTAATGTCGTCTTCTCTCATTAAAAAAATATTTTAACAATTATTTTACCATTAACTTAGGGTAAGTTAGGTTGCGCCGCAGGCTACGGAGGGGGCCGAGTGCTGCGGCTATGATGGGCTAGGGGGCCGAGCGCTGCGACTAGGACAGGCTAGGGGGGGTGCGCTGCAGCTAGAACAAGCTAGGAGGCCGAGCGCTGCGGCCATGGCTGTGAAAATCTTTAGAATATAGTCTTTTTAATTTTAAGTTGAGAGAAGACAACATTAAATTAGTTTTATGATTCTGTTTTTCGAGGCATTTCCGTGTTAAGGCGTTTCCATGTCACCTTTATATTCAAGAATTACAAAAATAAGTGAATTATTGCGCGAAATTTGTTCAACCCCCTCCCCCCCCACTGGCAAAAAATCCCCCCACTGGAATTTTTTGCAGGGAATTGAGTGAAATTTATTTAAAAACCTTGAGTAGCTGGGGGTGGAAAGTGGACTATTCTGCCAACGTTAAAAATGTTAATTGTTCAGCTATGTACAATGTACAATGTACATTCATTTTCACTTTAGAGTTGAAAATGTTAATTGTTCAGCTATGTAAAATGTACAATGTACATTCATTTTCACTTTACAGTTGAAAAAACCTTACAATTGTGTAAGAGCATACTTACTGCAGGATGAATGTACAGGGTGTCCCACTAAACATGACAATAGGAAGACGACTTGAAAGTCGTCTTTGATATTTGAATTTATTTGTGACATTTAGTCTTATATCTACTTTAACATGTATGATTCTTGAAACAATTATCACATAATTCTCCTAGCCCTGGCATTTCCAAAAAGTGGTCTGCGTTTTTTGTGCTTTCAATATTACCGGAGGTATAAAGAGTTTGGTTCAGATTTCAATTTTGTTAAATAAAAGCAAAATTGTCGATATCTGAACGAAATTCTTCATATCTCCAGCAATATTGAAAGCACAAAAAAGGCAGACCACATTTTGGAAATGGAAGGACAAGGGAAATTTTGTGATTATTTTCTCTAGAAATGTACTTCTAAAATTAGGTTGACAAATAAACGCAGCAAATTATATCAAAAATCAAGACGACATTCAAGTCGTCCCGCATACTGTCATGTTTCGTGGGAAGATGATATTATATCAATATTTAAGTGTATTTGATGCTATTTTAACTCTGAGTCTTGAAGTAGTAATCTGTTCCAGAGTTTTAGACTTCAGACACTTATTACATCACTAATCTAAGTGAAATGGGTCTGTTTCAGCTTCGCAATTTCGGTGTCTCATGCTCATTGGACTTTTTAAAGCTATAACAATTGATTCTAAAAGTCGCCCTGCTATTTTAAAGTGTTCTAGTCTGCACTTTAGATATTTATTTTTAATTATCTTAAATCAGGAATGACGGGAGAAGGCATATGTATGTGTTTACCTCAGCTTATGATTAACAGTTTCAGCCCTGCTACCGGGTAAGTGACATTACTCTGTAAACCATGGTGATGTCAGTGCTGTAACATATCATTATATACAATATATATCTTAGATTGTGTTAGGTATTTTCCAAAAGGAATTTTCCCTAGGGCGACTTCCCAAGTGGCAATTTTCAAATTGTGAAATTTCCCAAAGATTAGTTTAGGCCTTCTGAGGCGACGCAGGCTGCAACATAGCCGTACGCTGTGGCTAGGATGGGCTGGGGGCCGAGCGAAACGGATAGAACAGACTTGGGTAGTTGCCACTGTGGAAAATTTTACGGTTGGGAAGTTGCCATTTGGGAAAATAGCCTTAGCATGGCAATGGAGATGGAATTTAAAAACAAATTTAAAAAAAAAGAATTTAAGAAAAAAATATTTTGAGGGGTAACTGATTTGCCAGATAGAGCTAACATATAAATAGATATATGAGCGAAGAGCTTTTTTATATACATAAAAAACATTCCAAAGCAACCCTCAATATAATCGAGCTTGTTTTTGACCCGAAGCTTCGACAATATAATATTCCCACCTAAATCTAGTGCATTATTATTACCTTCCTTTAACACTAAACAGTTTTTTTAACCTAGCACTCTCATTTTTGACATTATCACCTTGCCTTTTTAACTTTAAAGGACAAGTAATTCAACAGATTTTTTTTGTAAATTTTCTTTTTTATGCAGTACAGGGTGGTCAATATTCCAGTATGTGTAAAAAAAATATAAAAATAGCCCTTAATTTTTTTAAGCTAGAAATCTAAAAACTACAATTTCAAAAAGGCCTTGGAAAATGAATGTAGAAACATATCTCACAAAGCTTAATATTTGTCAAAAAAAAAAATATTTTTTTTTCAAACCTTCTTTGCACCCAAGCTATTAAGTAAGCGGTTTAATTTTTTTTCTACAATGTGCTGGCCTTGAAAAATTGGGCAATGCATCTGAATTGCAAGGGTGTAACCCTATACCTAAACTCTAAGTTTTTTATATATGAGGACTATAAAATAGACTTAGACCCTCAGAACTTTAAGGGGTTAATCTCATCTTTTCCAACGGGGAATTAACCGATCCTTTGATCCCCAATGATAAATAGCTAGTTATTTCTATTGTTTTTAAAATAACCGTGATTTTGTTTTCTGGAGTCTAACCAACTTAAGATAAAACAAATCTTAGAATTTCACTTTTGACTTCTATAATGATATAAATAACAACTATTAGTAAGCATCCCTAGTCTCTTTTTCTTAAATCTTTAAACGATAACAATGAAAAACTAAGATTTTAGATTTTAGGGACAATTCTGAATTCAGAGCCATCATTAACTTTGTTTCAGACTTATTAACGTATATTGGATACAATTAAACCAAAATATAGTTGTTGTAGAACATATGATTATGCTTATTAACGTATATTGGATACAATTAAACCAAAATATAATTGTTGTAGAACATGTGATTATGCTTATTAACGTATATTGGATACAATTAAACCAAGACATAATTGTTGTAGAACATATGATTATGCTTATTAATGTATATTGGATACAATTAAACCTAAATATAATTGTTGTAGAACATGTGGTTATGCTTGTCCAAAGAATCCAGCTCAGATTTGCGGCAGCTACACTGAAAGGTAAAACTTATGCTTCAATTTTGAGAATTAAATATTTTTTTCAATGTTCAAAACTCTTGTAAAATGTATAAAAATGTTGAAAAAATGTATAAAAATGTTGAAAAAATGTATAAAAATGTTGAAAAAATGTATAAAAATGTTGAAAAATGTCAAAGATATTAAAAAATTAACAATTTTGACAGGTAAAACCCGGATTCTCGACAAATCTGATAATCCTTGAACACCCAAGATTTCAAAATAATTTTTTTTAAAGATATATTGCAATTTTCAAATTCAATCTTAAATTCTTAAATATTCTTTGTCTTCAGTTTATTTCATTTTTTATCCATACAAAAGCATTTAAATTGTGTTAACAAATTTCAACATTGATTCTTTTAAAACTCTGGTCATAAAGTTGATTTCAAACTCGAAATAGAATTTTTGATGAATAGGCCGCAGCCGTTTTCTAATCAGTTTTTTTTGAAGAACCTTTGTAAAACATCTTGCTTTATGACAACGTACTGTATATTTGTATAAACATAATATACATATAATTTATGTAACATGTTGTCTTCCTATTCAACAGTTTTTGGACAAATTTTGAAAATAATCAAAAATTACTTTAAAATATTATTTTTAGCAACATAAGTTCCGAGGTGGTGACTGCCAATAACTCCATCTTCTGGAACTCTGTAATCCCTCCGCTGAATGCTGTCAGCTTCGATCTTAAATCTACATTTACTGCACCAAATATTGTGGTGAGAATACCTATATTTACTGCACCAAATATTGTGGTGAGAATACCTACATTTACTGCACCAAATATTGTGGTGAGAATACCTACATTTACTGCACCAAATATTGTGGTGAGAATACCTATATTTACTGCACCAAATATTGTGGTGAGAATACCTATATTTACTGCACCAAATATTGTGGTGAGAATACCTATATTTACTGCACCAAATATTGTGGTGAGAATACCTATATTTGGTAATATTACTTCGTCTAAACGCGATATTCTCCATACTAAACTTCTGACCTAGTAACGCTAGGACAGGCTCTTGGGCCGAGCGCTGCGTCAACGTTATCAAATTTACAAAGTGATAGCCGATATATGAGGTTAGATATAGGTAAAGACAACTTCTGGACCAAGAACTGCGACTAAGACAGGCTAATTGACAAAGTGATAGCCAAAGCCAATCTGTGGGATTAGATTAGAAGGGGTCAATTTCTGGGCCAACATCCTCGCCCTACGGCGCCATGACAAACTCCTGAAAGACAAACTCCTGAAAGACAAACTCCTGAAAAGACAAACTTCTGAAAGACAAACTCCTGACGAGACAAACTCCGGACGAGACAAACTCCTGAAATTAAAACTTCTGAAATACAAACTCCATAATATCAAATTTAAAAAAAATGTTTCACAATTTATAGTGTCATAACTTAACCTAACCCATGGCCGCAGCGCTCGGCCCCCTAATCAGGAGTTTGTCTTGTCAGGAGTTTGTCTTTCCGGAGTTTGTCTTTCAGGAGTTTGTCTTTCAGGAGTTTGTCATGGCACCCGCCCTACATCTCCGACATCGGCACATATAGATGGTTAAAATGTTTCCTGGGGTGCACATGATGCATTATGTTAATTTTTTCCATGTGTCGGACATTTTTTAGCAAATAGGCTGGGATGAAGTTTCAAAAGCGAAAATTTGTTCGAACTGGAGACTCTAGCATTAACTACTGGCAGGGGCATACATAAGAAATGGTACGGGGGGACCTTACATTTTTTTCTAGGAGGAGGCATGCAGCAATAGAGTCTCCGGCGAACGAAGATTTTCTTGTAAAAATGCGAACATGTTCGTTCGTATTTTGCGAAAATACTTTCGCAAAACAAATTTCATGAAAAATAATATTGCGAAAAAAATTCTGCGAAAACCACAAGTGTTCTAGCTGCAACAAATAATTGCGCCAAAAAACTTTTTGCGAACATTGACGTTTTTTCTTAAAACAGATAAAGGCAACATTTTGCGAAAAAAAGTGAAAATTCGCGAAAATTATAAATTGGACCTTTTATCGCAGGGAACCCTACTCAGCACCCGCTGGGGCCTGAAAACCCCCTGAAAACCAAAAATTTCACTGCTCCAGTGGAGGGGAGGTGGGTTTGCATTTCCCTTCACCCCTGCTTAGGTCTCTAACTATAATTCTTTATTAGACGTTTATTTTTGAACGTTTCTTTTTTGTTTAGACTGTTGCGTTGTCAAATGTTAGCACTGGAGGCGCGGCGGCAAATATATCATTCGCCATTAATGAAGATACAATCGGTAATTTTTAGACATGTACAGGGTGTCCCAAAAGACTATGGAAATTGTCTTTGTGAATGATTTTTTTAAAATTGTTTTATAAGTAAGAATGTAATGTTCCTTTCGTTTACTGTATTTTACGTTTTTTTAAAGTTACCGTTGTTAAGGATCTTAAATTTATTAACAGCGTTAACAGAAGATTTTCTGCTGTTAGCAGTTATTTTTTTTGCAATTAACTGCATTAGCCTTTCAGGAATTGCGATAAAGTGCTAAAAATTTTCTTTAACTGTTTGTGAAATCAGTGAATGCCGATAATGGATGTTTGTTGCATTAACGGCTTTAACGGTTTGCCAAAACTCCAAAACTTCCACAAAAAAACGTTTACAGATTATCGAATTGGATTTTCGGTAAAAGTCATCTTTAAATTTCAAAAATCTTTAAAATGGGTGGAGGGGGACTGAAGACAACATTAAAAAACATCAAAATACAATTAATTTTTTTTTGCAAGTTTCATGCAATTTTAGCCAAAAATAAAGAACGAAAGTTGCAGTTATTTGAAAATCCATTAATTTCGTTTCCGTTTTTAAAATGATTTAAAAATTAACAGATTTTGCTTATTGTTAACGGACTTGTTCCTTAATTTTCTAATAACTCCATTTCTATAGTTCAAATTGTTTAAATCATGTGAATGTTCACAAATTATATGCAGTAGAGTACATTAATACAGTATGTTCCCTAGACTATCCATTTCAATTTAGAATTTTTTAAAGCTGTTAAACTTTGTTAAACTTTATAAAATTAATTTGGTGAATAAAAAAATCATTTGACTTTTAGTTATAACAGAAAATCAACGTTTGTAAAGTGAAAGGCATAGAGTCTATGTGAAATGATCATTGGTGAATTATGAAACCAGCCTATATTTCATAATTTGAATTTTAGATTTTCTATAAAATGATGTTCCAGGGCCCAAAAGGTTATATAGCACAAATATGTGAAGTACACCTGCACTATGGAAACAGTACAACAAAATGGCCATTTTACACTTTTTTCTAGAAAATTCCACTCGAATATATATTTTATTCTCTTTGTAAAGAAGTATAAATGATATTTTTTAAGGAAAATATTCAATCTTTAGATAGAATTGTGCACTGTTTTCCTAAATATGGCAAAACATCGCATAATAGCGCAAGGTCATTTTAAATACTTATCTGCGAATATGGAGGCATGAAGACCATTTTGCGGGGCTCATGGCGTTCCTGCACCCCCTCCCTTGTGTGAGAGAGCATACTTTAAACTATTTATCTTTGAAGGTGGAGGTTTATCAAGTAATGCAGTAAATATTGTACTAAACCAACCAGGAGATGTTGTTGTGACTGGTAAGTATTCATGTATTAAAGAAACAGTAAACGGAATTTAAAATGGCCGGCCCTCCATATAAAACTTAATTTATATCTAGAATATGTGTTGAATTTTTGATCAGACGAAGGCTTCAAGAGTACGTTGTAAATCAAACATAATATTTGAAATTGTGTCGACAGAACCTTGAGCTTAATTGTTAAAAAGCATAGTTTTAATGAGATTCAATAACACCCATAATTATAGTTAATAATATCCTGAAATAAATTCTATTTTAAATGGCACAAACTGTTTGTAGATTTTACATTTTACAGATTTATCTAAAATAAAAATTTGGGAAATCTCATCAGAAAAAAAATTATGACTTCTTTCCATTATTTCTGAAAGACACTTTAGTGGAGTATATGGAAATATTCAGGTTTAAATAAAAAATCATGGCATATCTAATTTACGCATGGATCACAAGGCTTTGTAGGATATTGTTGTGAATCAGACATACCAATCTTTTATTAAAGATTTGTATTTATATTGTCCTTTTATAAAAGTGTTTTAATTAGATATTACTATTATAGTTCGAGCGGAAAACTCTGACGGAGTACGTGTCAGCCAATCCAAAGTTGCATTAGGAATAAATAATGATAGAGAAAATTTTTAAAATCTTATTTCTCATTAAAATTGATTAATTTTCTTTTTTTAATTGTATTTTTAAAACCATACATTGCATGGCATATAATTGTTAAATTTCTTGTTATTGCAATAACTCTTATTTTCCTTTTCTGGAAAAATTAATGATATCATTAAAATTGTCTGAATTAAGAACCTTTATAAATTCCAACTTTGGTTAAGATAAAAATAATAGAAAATCTGTATTATCATTTTGCATCAACCGATTATTATCAAATTTAGTTACAATGCCGCCGCTAACTAAAACAATTTTGTGTGACGTTGTTGCAAGGTAATTTAATTATTATATTAATAATCAGTGATACAATGTTGGAATTTGTCTGAAGCTTATTTTGTTAAGAAAAGAACAATGAAAAGTTATTGAGACAGATACGATATTTTGTAGTTTTGTTAATACCGGGATAAGCTGAAAAGTTTTTCCGACTAAACTTACAAATTTCTTCAAAAAAAAAATTATTTGTGACAATCACATGATTAACTAATAGAATTGACATGAAAATTTGAGTTTTTGACATAATTATTATGACTAAAAAGGCATTCTACTTATTTGTGAAAGCCTTGGAAGAATTTTTACTTATTAAGCGTGTTTATAATTTTCAGTGATGAGGAGGACTATTTTTGTTCCTACAGTGTTAAATATTCTTCTGGGCCTATCACTGCTGGATTCGCATCTACAGTAGATTATCTTACTCCAGGCAACTTAAAAACATACTATACCATCCAAAATGATAATTTCCTTTTATATGTGATGTATACACTAGCTTGGGAACCCAGCGCTGTCAGTGTTTGTATAAAATGCCTTCTTTTTGAGCGAAAATTTTATGTTTTTTTAAAAAGAAAATGGTATTGAAGGTTTTAAAAGCTAGTTTTTGTACATTTTCTTTACACTTTTCAGATTATTAAATGCCTTTTTTTCGAAATTAGAAAATGTAAATACTTTCAAACTAGAGGTTTTTGCAGTAGTGAGCTTTGAAATTCCAAAACGAGAATATAAAATTTCAACTTTTATTTTCAAACTCTGGTATTGGCGGTAGTGAGATTTCAAAATCCAAAATAAAAAATTTCAACTTTTATTTTCAAACTCTGGTATTGGCGGTAGTGAGATTTCACTTTGGATTTTGAAATCTCACTACCGCCAATACCACAGTTTGAAAATAAAAGTTGAAATTTTTTATTTTGGATTTTGAAATCTCAATACCGCCAATACCAGAGTTTGAAAATAAAAGTTGAAATTTTATATTCTCATTTTGGATTTTGAAATCTCACTACCGCCAATACCACAGTTTGAAAATAAAAATTGAAATTTTATATTCTCATTTTGGATTTTCAAATCTCACTTTTTATTTTTTTCATGAATCTAACTACCTTAGAACTTGACACTATATACTTTTATTTTATAAAACTGGGGCATTTTATATCTACAGGCGCTGTCAAGGTTACTAAAAAGTTACTCCCGCCGTTTACCCGCACTTGAACGATTTTACCGGGAAACTAAATTTTCGCTATTGAAGTCGACCCACTCAACTTAGAATCTTAAACCAATCTAAGAACACCTCCGTGCCCCGTGGGTCTCCCGTGTTCCCCAAACAAATCACCAGGCAAATGGATCCATGGGTTCCTGAGTTGTGATCGGACAAACAAACAAAATCCGCAATTTTCAGTTCTAATATAATTTTTACGGAAAAATTGTTTTTTGATGGTTCTTAAGTTTTCAACTGAACAGCATATATATTTAATACTTTAGAATATACCAAAAAGAAAGGAACTAGAGAATTTTAAGAATTTTTTCCTGAAAAATTATACCAGAACTGAAAATTGCAAATTTTCTAATTACGATTTTCTAAGATTCTGTGATTCAATCTTTTTAAAATTTTAGATTTCGATAGAAACAATTTATTTACACATTTTTGTTTTCTGAACTTTTAATTTTGAGAGAAAAAAAAGTTCGCAGATTTTTTTTGGGCCATTGAAGTATCAAAAAATTACAAATATTCAAAATATATTGAAAAAAAAAACACAATACAGGAGAGTTGTAAAAAAAGGTACAATTTTGCACGTCAAACCATGCAGTTTTGTAGAAAAAAAGATCGTTTACTCAGAATTATGTTTAACAATATTTTATATAAATCAAACAATATATCATAAATTGATCCATATATTCTTTTAGAATCACTAAAATTTCTCTAGAAAACTATAATTATTTTACTGCTGAAAATTATCGTTTCTCTTAAAAAAAACCAAAACTTTCGTAAGAAACATATTTAATACTAATCTGATTTTATGTTCCTTACAGCAAAATAAGATCAATTTTCATTATATATGCTATTCTATAACATTTTTATGAATCGACCGTTTTCATTATAATCCCGAGAAGGACAAAAGAAAAATTTTATTTCTTCAAACAATGCCAAACAATCTATACCCTACAATAAATTTGAATTTACGAATACGAATATTTGTTTATTTAGGTGCAAACTATGAATATTTGTTTGTTTAGATGTAAACTATAAATATTTGTTCGTATAGGTGCAAACTATGAATATTGGTTTGTTTAGGTGAAAACTATGAATATTTGTTTGTTTAGGTGCAAACTATAAATATTTGTTTGTTTAGGTGCAAACTATGAATATTTGTTTGTTTAGGTGCAAACTATGAATATTTGCTTGTTTAGGTGCAAACTATGAATATTTGTTTGTTTTGGTGCAAACTATGAATATTTGTTTGTTTAGATGCAAACTATAAATATTTGTTTGTTTAGGTGCAAACTATAAATATTTGTTTGTTTAAATGTAAACAATAAATATTTGTTTGTTTCGGTGCAAGCTATGAATATTTGTTTGTTTAGGTGCAAAATACGAATATTTGATTGTTTAAATGTAAACTATGAATATTTGTTTGTATAGGTGTGAACTATGAATATTTGTTTGTTTAGGTGTAAACAATGAATATTTGTTCAATTAGGTGCAAACTATAAATATTTGTTCACTTAGGTGCAAACTATGAATATTTGTTTGTTTAGGTGCAAACTACGAATATTTGTTTATTTAAATATAAACTATGAATATTTGTTTGTTTAGGTGCAAGCTATGAATATTTGTTTATTTGGGAGCAAACTATGAATATTTGTTTGTTTAGGTGCAAACTATAAATATTTGTTTGTTTAGGTGCAAACTATGAATATTTGTTTGTTTAGATGCAAACTGTGAATATTTGTTCACTTAGGTGCAAACTATGAATATTTGTTCACTTAGGTGCAAACTATGAATATTTGTTTGTTTAGGTGAAAGCTATGAATACTTGTTTATTTGGTAGCAAACTATGAATATTTGTTTGTTTAGGTGTAAACTATGAATATTTGTTTGTTTAGGTGCAAGTTATAAATATTTGTTTGTTTAGGTGTAAACTATGAATATTTGTTTGTACAGGTGCAAACTATGAATATTTGTTCGTTTAGGTGTAAACTATGATTTTGTGTTTGTTTAGGTGCAAACTATGAATATTTGTTTGTTTAGGTGCAAAATATAAATAATTGTTTGTTTAGGTGTAAACTATGAATATTTGTTTGTTTAGGTGCAAGCTATGAATATTTGTTTGTTTAGGTGTAAACTATGAATATTTGTTCGTTTAGGTGCAAACTATGAATATTTGTTTGTTTAGGTGCAAACTATGAATATTTGTTTGTTTAGGTGCAAACTATGAATATTTGTTTGTTTAGGTGCAAACTATGAATATTATGGGAATACTCCTCAATATGCTGATCCACTGGTTGCGTTCCAGGTTCCATTTAGAGACTTTTATAACCTTATAAACTTTATATAAAATATGACAAATTATATCACTTGCCTCAATTGTCTAAACTCTATATCTTAGCAACCTGGTTGGACTGCAGAATTATAACCAGAAAATACAGGAATAGAAAGATGAAATTTAGATTTATGTCATGACTTTAAATGGTCAAATTAACGTGAGAGGAAGACACAGCAATTGTGCGCTGTAAATTAACCCAAAAAGATTAAAATAACAATAAAAACCATAATTATAAATGATAATGATAAAAATAAATAGTGACAAAAATTGTCGTCTTACTATTCCATCGTTATCTGGTTCTTATTGTAAAATAATTAATAGGTTGACATTTCAAAGATCTTCAGATTGCAAAGTTTTCAGGATTGTAAACTTTGAGTTAGATATCAGTTCAAACATGTTTATTGTTTAGAGCAGTAGTGTGACCAGAACTCTAGTATTTGGCAAACGAGTTGAGGAAGAAACTGTCGTCACAGAAATTCGTGGATACTCTACAGCCAGCGGTTCCATCAAAATAAAAGTATAACTTATTATTACAGGGTGTCCCAACAAGCATATAAATTCAGCCATGATTTTGTGATCGTCTTTCTAAGGATTCTAATGATTATAAGTATTGTGATTCTTACCAAGAAAAATGTATTCAGTGGAATGTTTCATTTATTTAAATACTTTGCTTGTCTGAATGGCTTGTCTTTTTGTTTGTAACCGATAAACATCAAAACAGCTGAACTGATCGGGCCCAGATTTTGTGTTGGATTTCATATGATCCCTCGGAATCCTCATGTCTGCAGCCTTTTAGATTTATGTAAATGTTTTTAAATCCACGAACTTTTTTCTCTTATTGTTTGTTTTTTGTACAAAGAGAAGATGGTCACAGATAGAACGACAATTATTAGTTAAAATAGCGGATGGGCCCTAAAGGATTTAGTCTGTGATAATTCCTGCATTAAATAAATCAGCTCTTTTTATCATTAACATCAATCTTATTATTACTTAAATAAGGTAGCCTTCAACGATGTTCTTGAAATTGTATATTGTCACCCTGTATACAATTTTCCTAGATCGATAGTCCATTTTATTAAGAACTGAAGACCCGGCGTTGCCCGTGGAAAAAAACAAAAAAGTATTTAAAAAAATAAAAACATTTTGGCTATATATATATATTTAACTATAAAGCAATAATCAGAACAGCTTCTCAGTTTTCATATTTATTAATACGAATTGTTTCAGATCTCTCGATCCTCATCAGTCAATAAACATGGGTTAACACATTATACATATATTTATATATACGAATGTCTTGTTTTATTATATAGATAACGATTACGATAAGATATCTCCATGCATTACATTCCGTTTTAATAAAATATGATATTCTGATTTGCCAAAAAAAAATCTGCCTGCGTTATGAAAAAAATGATTAATCAAGATTCAAGCTTAAAGGGACAGTAAAGGAAAACTGAAAGGGGGTATAGGCTGAAAGCTAATCACTTTAGCTCTTGATCTTGACCCATGAAAGTCATATCTGATGTTCCTGTCTCGAGAAATTGATATAAAACTGTGTCAAATCTATACGAAAATTAATATATATACAATTTTGTATAAAAGTAGTGGGTTTAAACAGATCATATTCAGCAAATAAGCAACCAATCTGAAAACGATGATATCCCAGAGAAAGCTAATTGACTGCTCTGCCATTGGTGATAGTTCTGGTCACGTGATTTAAGTTTCAGATTTTCAAAATTTTACATATATGAATTTTCGCATAATTTTAACAAAGTTTTATATCAGTTTCTCGAGACAGGAACATCAGATAAAACTTTCATGAGTCGCGATCAAGAGCTAAAGTGATTAGCTTTCAGCCTATACCCCCTTTTATTTTTCCTTTACTGTCCCTTTAACGAAATGATCAAGTCGACAGAAGACATTTAGTAATGAATAGATTAGGCAGAAAATTAAGAGAGATTTGTTCAAGATTTTACTTGCTGAATTTTTATTTGAAATTGATATTAAAAAGAAAGAAAAAAATCAAGTTGACTTTTAATGTCAAATTTTTCATTTTTTCATTATGTCATATAAAATCATAAAATAATGAAGGCCCTCTATGCGTGCCTCCCCAGGGTAAGAATCCAGGGGGGGGGCATTTGCACTGTTTAATAAATATAGTAATATAAGTCGTCTTTTCTTTAAGTCTAAAAGTGTTTATATTTTAAGATCATATCTAACAGCAATTATCTTCAAAGTAACCAAGTAAATTATTTATCCGAGATAAATCCTATTTTTCGTTTATTTAATTATTATCTGTTTAGAGATTTACACCTGATTGTGACGGGAACCCATTTGAAGCTAGGTTTAGAGGAAGATGCGAAATTGACTTGCCTTACACAGAGAAAAGGGTAATTTTTCTTATCTTTCTATCTTTCTATCTATATATCTATCCTTATTGTAAGCGTTTTAAAGGGAGTGACTGGAAATGTCTGGTAGTTGAATTGAGAACGTAGTATTTTGGAGAGATTTTTTAGCAATCGTTTAAGATCTATGAAACGTTTTTATTTTGCATATTTGCCCAAATTCAATCTTTACTTCATTAATTGTTAATTTTTGAGGGATAATTTTGAGAATCGGGTTTAAAATATTTTTCAATAGCGACGACGAAAAATATGGTAAAATTCTACAGTCAACTAATGCGTTGTTTGGGAACAGGTTGAGAAAATTAAAGTTAACTATTATCATCAAAAATAAAAATCTTATTCAGTTATTGGTCTGCGTAATGTTTTATTGTTTACAAACATTTTCTGTAGATTTCCTTGAAATTTGCGAATTTGAAGAAATCTACGAACAAATTCATAAAGAAAAAGAAAGTTAATATAATGATGAATGAGAAACAATTGATTCTAACATTAATTTATAGAGAACATTTTTTTCAGAAATAAGTCCCTAAACATCTTATTAACTTATTGTGGACTTTTTTTACATTATTTGTCGCCGTTGTTTAATAAATTTAAAAAATCGATTCTTAACAAGTAACCACCAAAATGGATGTTTTTGAACATTGGCTTTGCACTCAAAATCATTTATTATACATCATTAAAACGTTTTATTGCTATTATACATTTATATATATGTGAACAATATATAAATATTTGCACGTTTGTTTGCCTGTGATATTATGTGTATTTTTAGCAATAAATATATCGTATTTAGACTACAACCATATTGACCGACGAGATAGATTGTAAGCCAGATTACGTGTTTGTAGCTGCTGAAGTCACCTGCAGGTATAAAGTTAGAAATTCTTTAGCATTTTTATACACATTTTATGAACTTATTAAGTTCAATATTTGTGTCCAACAAATTATAAATATATTTTTATTGTTAAAATTTTCTACTCGGGTTTCAGGTTTTTTTACATATTTTTTTTTGTTCCTGACTAATCAATTTTTATTTCAGAGATCCTGCCTGCTCAATCTCATGTTCTGAATTAGGTTATAACTCAAATTTGTTCATAAAGATTATAACAAAAATTCTAGAGTAAAGAAATAATTGATTCTATTATTAAGTGCTTCAGAAATTTATATTGAAAAACGAGTTCCTAAACAACTATTTAGTTTAGTGTAGAACTTTTGTAACATTTCTCCTCCAGAATGGACGAGTAGGATTTTAAAGATTGAGTTTGCACTCTTGTAAGGTATTTAAACTGAGTATGCAATGTTGTGGACAAATTTTTTAGGATTCCATGAGACATAAAAACGTTTCCACGATGTATAATTACTGAGTTTGAGCGCTAAGTCGCGTTCAAAAGAATGGATTTGGATGGGCACGTTTTCAGAATCGGGTTTTTTAAATTATTAAATAACGACAACAAAAAACATAGTAAAAACTCGAGAGTAAACCATGTAGATGTTTAGGAACATATTTTTAGGGGAAATTTGTCAATAAATCGAAGTTAGAATTAATCATTTCCTTTTTCATCATTATATTGAATTTCTTATTTTCTATGAATTTCAAATACTTCAAATGTCGTCTTTTTGATAAAAATTCCAGAAAATCTGCAGAAAATCTGTGTGATTAAAGAGAAATTATAGAAACTAATAATAGAATAGGATTACTTATTTTCGTTAATTTTCATTTTCTCAACCTGTTCCTAAACAACTAATTAGTTTACTGTAGAATTTTGTTTACATTTTTTTGTCGTCGTTTTTTAATAATTGAAAAAAAAACAATTTTAAAAACGTATCCACCCAAAAGTACCATTTTAAACGTCGACATTATGCTCAAACTCAGGGTTTACATATCTTTAAAAAGTTTTATATGTCTCAAATGAATCCCTAAAGAATTTGTCCACATTACTGCATGCTCAGTTTAACTACTTTACGTAGACGGTCTGTCCCTTTAAGCATATATTTCAATTTTAAAGGACGATTTAAAAAATTTAAAAAAATTTTCTTCCATTTTTTAAAAAGTTCTTTCATAAATATCCATAAATTTCATAATTGTTCGTAAATAAATATAACTTGAGATCATCCTAATCCTTATAATACTTTTCAGAAACCCCAAACTACTCGAAGTTGGTTGGAGTTGGTGGGGTCGTAAACACTATTCCTCAAGGCACAGATTCAACAGATTCAAAAGGAATGAGTCTTTGTCACAAACTCTAATTTTCCTATCACTATTTCTTGCAACCTGGATGTTGTTGACCTTACATATTTTAAACTTGTAATCCTACTAGATCCTACTAGATCCTACTAGATCAAATACTTAAGTTTGAAATATCAAAGGTTTACACCATCAGGTTATAAAGATATAGGCATTATAATATTTGAGTTTGAAATATCAAAGGTTTACACCATCAGGTAATAAAGATATAGGCATTATAATATTTGAGTTTGAAATATCAAAGGTTTACACCATCAGGTTATTAAGATATAGGCATTATAATATTTGAGTTTGTGTCAAGATTCAATTCCTTTGCACTAATCTTATCAGAGGTTAAAACTTGTGTGTCGGGATCAAGTGTCGATCTCCGTAAGGATTAATCTAATTCCTCATCCATATCCCGTGGACAGAGGTATTACGGTTGTTAATCGTTTTTGAAAACGATCGTTAAACGATAATTTTTTTGTTTAGTTTTTTGATCGTTTTCGAAAAAATCGACCCACTCGTTTAGAACGATTAACGATCGTTTTTGAAAACGATCGTCTTTATAAAAACGATCAGCGATAGTTTTTTTATACGATCAAGTAAATGTAAGACATTTTGAAAGTAAGATTAAGTAATTTCGTTCAATTTAAAGTTATTTGTTCAAGGTTAATCTTTATAATAAAGCTCTTCGCGCTCATTTACATATTTATATATATGTTAGCTAGCCTATGGCTGTCCACACGGCTGGACCAAATAGGGTGAATTTTTTTGTGGGAACCCATGGATACCTTGGTGGTAACATGGCCAAATTTTTGTTTCAAAATTGAATAATTTTTTTCCTCTCAAAATTTTAATTTGTTAAAAAATATTTTTTTTAAATTTCACGGGCAATGTCAGGCACTTCAGCAAGTAGTATATAGTACCAATCCTATTTATTGAAAAAGAGAATTAAACCAATAAATCTGTTTCTGTTGAACTTGTATTTCCAGGTTACTTCTCAATAATTCTAACTGAGGATTTACGGTTTACTGTTTATCCTGGAGACTATCTTGGTTTTGAAGGAGACACTATAGCTGTCAGGTTAAATAAGTCTTATATTAGCTATTATACGGCGATTATATCAATAAAATAAAGATCACTTTCCATTTCCATTTAAAATATTTCACTTGTGACGGTTATGAAAGTTGTCTTCTACGAAAGAATCCTCCGCGGCAGCTAGAAGACTAGGGGAAGTTTTTGAGAGCCATCATATATTTCTCCAAGTATTTTACAATGTACATTAGATTAAACATAAAGTTAGTTATTCTGAGACTCTCTGGTCGTTGTTTAGTCGACCGCAAAACACTTTAATTACTTGTAAACTTGCAATTCGAAAAAAAACTCAATAACTTAAATAAAAAAAGCTGTCTTCATAATATTGTTATAATCGCCACTCATCCTTAAAATAGGATAAAAATAACAGACTAAAGTATTAAGAAATATTGGGCACTAGCAGTAGCAGCCTAGGAGCTCTAGCGCTGCTGATCTTGCAAACAACAATTAACTGTATATTTAGTGATGAAACGGATACGACCCTTGCTGATATTGAACTATCTGCTGATGGTTCGATGGTGTCCATTCTACAAAAATCCTATTTACAAATTGTGACAGAAAGGTACAAAATAAATATTTTATTTTTCAAAAATTCTTCGCAAAAACGTGGAGGAGGAAAAATACATTTAACCAATCTGATGTGTATTTGATATTGATTTAAAGCAAAAAGATTTACTTGGCCGGTAGCTTGTATATTATTTGGTTAAATTGGTTCTTGTCCAGGATATCATACATGTCGTCTTTTCATGTACATCGGACTATTTGAAATCATAACTTGAGTCGTCTTTCTGTCTTACAGTTATATGTGTCACTCTAAATATTTTACAGGACATTTTTATTTAACACTTATAACATAGGTTAAATTTCAATATTTTAAATATTTTTTGGGACAAAATTCAATAATGTCTTTTTGTTTGTTAAGGATGAACTTTTATGATCTACCAAACCGATGTGCAAGCACAGAAATTGCAACTACCCTTACTTTTTCGACGAATGATGTAAGAACATACATATATATAGATATTATAAACATACAAAACTTAAACTTCAAACAGAAACGTAATCAATCAGATCCAGACATAATCAGACTTAAGAGAAAACTGAACAGAACTTACTATTGTATTTTAGGATTTTTGTCTCACATTTATATCTTTGCAACCCTTTGTCGTTTACCTTTAACCCTAAAAAGGCTGAGAGGGGCGTTCGGCGCCCCCCCCACCCCCCCCCCAGCAGGAATAGGGTTAAAAATGCAAGTAGAAACATGTGTCACACTTTCATATTTGCTTAAAACGAAAAAAACATTTTTTTATTTTTTTTTTTTACCTTTTTTAGGCATTTTATTCCACCCTCCCTGGCAGTCAAACTATTACAGTCATCAGTCTATTTTTTTCTTTATAGGGTTAATATTCAAACTGTATATTATATGAATATCAAAAACTAATAAAGATATTTTAACATCTCTGTAGCACGGCTCAGTATAGTTTTAGAATTTCCTCCTGTCCTCATTAAAAGATAATATTTGGTCGATACAATAATTAGATTTGAAAATGACAGTTTGTGTCAAGTATTTAGCTCCTGGGTTACCCATACAGAAAGAACCATTAATGACGACATAAAAATCATTAAATATATAAAGATCATCTGAAGGGTTAAATTACCGCTGTTAATGACATTAATACTGATTTGGTAAAGAAAGGCACATTAATTATAGCAGTCGTTTCTGAAATCGCATCCTTTCTTGGTAACCCTGTATATACTGATAATACTGATAATTCATTTAAACGTGCTAATACGATATTTGTAGGGAACAAACACTAAAACAAACCTGACAAACTGTCAATATCCGATTGAAGGTCTTCTTCCAATGATTTCCTTCTCAATTACAACGGTTCCCGCAGATATTGATGTAAACGATGTAAATGCAGTTTACTACGCCAGGGTAAGCGAGATTAATAAAACTCTTGAATAAGAAGAAGACTTTTAAAATTAATTTTTTTAAACACAGTTTACAGACATATTTTTATTTATACTTTTAAGCTATTGATAACAACATTAAAATCACAAAATATTGATTAGTTTCGTTTTCCTAATTAATAGTTTTTAAGTCTGGCCTCTTCGATTATTAGATTACACAGAGAGAACTAAAAAGGTCGTCGTTGTCTTAGTTTTAAAACTTTGTACTGGTAACAAAATTGTAACTAAAAAACAGTAGAATAATTATAGTTTTTTTTTATTCTTTTAAAAGAGAAATATAGCAACAACTTTTGTAATTTGTAATAATAACTAATAAAATGTTCAGGGCTCATTCTCAAGAAAAAATCTGTTTAAAATTACATAAATCCTCGAGATTTGATAATAATAAGATTTAAAGAAGATGAATAATATAATTCAACTGTTTTCCTGTTACCACTGTAACCTCTTTTTTTAGCCATAATCCACATACATGTTTACTCAGCTAAATTTTACAATAAATTATTCTTATTTATAATAAGATTATAACAAATGAAATTACTGATTAAAATTCTTCAAATTGCACAACTTTGACATTTTATTCAATCTGTAAAATTTTAATTCAAATTGACAACTTATTTTGTTTTGTGTTGTGATATTACATGCAATTTAGTTTAACATTGGTCACTTAGTCCAAACAAAAATTACACCGGAAAAATGTGAAATAAGTGTAGCCTTTAACAATTTTAAAGAAAAGGTGTTTGATTTAAGGTTGATGATGTTGTTACCCTGGATTCCACAATAACCAAGGGGTGGCCTGTATACTATACTGTTTCTTGGGGAGATGGAACTCCAGACGACGTTCTTCATGAAAACGGTAAAATACAAACTAAAATACGACTTCTAGAAGAAAATCTCCTAAAGAAATATCCCTGGGAGACGGTCCTGAAAAAATCAAAGTAGACAAATTCCTGAAAGAAAACTCCAAAGGGAACCTTCAAAAAAATCTTGAAAGACGCTACGATCTACTACAGATTAACTAAGAGATAAACACCTGAAAAACTTCTCGAAAGAAAATCACCTAAAATCTTCTAAAAATTTATCTCCTGAATAACAACTGTCCAATACATGAACTTCTGAACTACAATCTTTGAAATACGAACTTAGGAAAGACAAACATCTATAAAACAAACTCCTAAAGACAATCTCCTCAAAAAAGTTCTTAAAAAGACAATTTATAATATAGAAATATATACTTGAAATAAAAACTCTGTAAAAACAAACTCTTGATAGTAATTACTGGACCAACATTTTTTGTATTATAAATACAACATTTTTGTGAAATGACATCCGGCCATGTGGCTAAATCAACAATTGGATTCTAAGTTTAAAATTTCAATAACAAGAACAACAACAAGAAAAGCAACAACAACAACAACAAAAACAACAACAACAACAACAGCAACAACAACAACAGCAACACCAACAACAACAACAACAACAACAACAACAACAACAAAAACAGCAACAACAACAAAAACAACAAAGTACTTTTTCAAATGGGATATGGTGTGGGTGTGGTTGAATAGACGGTCCCTGCATGAACGGCACTATTGTTTCAAGTTGATTGAGTACAAAAAATAAACTTCATGCGTTTAACTTTACAATTGCGAACAAATTATTTAGATTAGACATGGTAAACTTTGTCGGAATAAAATTTGAAAAACAATCTTTTTTTGAAAATACTCCCGAAAAAACTCCCGATTTTTTTTCTATTTAGGAACGAATGCAAAACCACAGACATTTACTCACAACTTTGAAAGTGAGGGTAACTATACAGGTTAGTCCATTTCTTTAAATATTTTTAGAAATTAAGAAATCGTTGATTTTATTTTTATATTTGAGCCTCAGCCTTAATGAACAACACATCATGGTTAGATCCAAAACAGAATTGTTATATTTCAAAGCAAATAACATTTTGATCGTAATAGCGATCTTATAGAAAAAAATAGAAATCACGACCTTAATTTGTTCAGAATTGCAAAAAGAAATGATAGGTATGTGAATCGGAATTTTGAAATGATTTCTTCCGTTCGTTATTATCAACAAAATGTTTTTTCTAGCAGTCTAAAAATAGTGTTTTTTTGCTATTCTACTGACAAAATAAACGTTTTAAATGACAAAGTCAGACGAAATTACTGGCAAGATTTTGTGACCTCGTAGCTTGCCTCCTTTAGTTTTCATTTTAGTTTCGCATATACCGGAAATATTAAATTTGCCTCAAAATTGAAGAGAGGAGCTATAATTGCCATGAATTTGATTCTATATGACATTCAATATAGTCTCGCCTTAACTTGTTGTATAAAACGTTCTGGGTCAACCAAATATTCGGTACTTTAGACAGGATGGGTCAACCACAAACTGGGTACGTTAGACGGGCTGGGTCAATCACTAGATGGGCTGGGTCAACCAAATACTGGGTGCGCTAGACAGGCTGGGTCAACCACATACTGGGTATGCTAGACAGGCTGGGTCAACCACATGAACCACATACTGGGTACATTATACGGGCTGGGTCAACAACATACTGGGTACGCTAGACTGGTTGGGTCAACCACATACTGGGTACGCTAGACAGGCTGGTACAAGTAAACACTACACCAAGCAATTATGCAAATTTTAAATTTATGTATGTGAAAAATATGTTATTTAGTGAATATAACTGCATATAACCTGCACAGTGAAGATTATGGTATAGTGGGATATAAACCGAACACCACAAGGTTAATATTTTAATTTTAATTTTGCTTTTCAATTGCTGCAATTTAACATTTCATATTGTTTTACTCCAGAATTCATAACAAATGTATGTCAATAATTAAAAAGTAAACTGTTTGCCCGTCTTCTATTTTTATATTTTTCTCTTTAAAAAAAATATTAAAACAAAAACAAAAATTCGCGGATCTTATAAAAAAATCGTGAATATTCAAAATTTAATGAAATCGAATTTTGATGGAGGATAATTTTTGAAATTTTGATCATACATAAACCTTCCCTGTCATGTGAGGTCCCATTGAACACGCACAAACAGACAAACACCCAAACACGTATATTTATAAAAAATTTTCTTTATTTTTTTTGCTTTACTTTATAGATGCATACCATAATACGTTCACTATTGCAATGAATTGTTGTTAGGACCCTGTATATCCAGTACCCTGTCAAGGAATGGATTATTGAAATAGATCCAAACTGGTTGGACTCTGACGGAGGTATGTGTTGACTGTTCTGTAAGCTCTAAATTTCGAAATAAAAAAATGCTCATTTGGCAGCGATAATTAGATACAACTTTTGTTGCTAAATTAATTGACAGCCATCCATGTTTTACAGCCAAATTCCCATTTCGAAAGAAATTGAGTCTTTCCCACAAACTCAAATTTTCTAATTTCTATTTCTTTGCAACCTGATTATGTAAAATTTTGATTTTCAATCTTAAATTAATTAATCTAACACAAAATAGACAAAATAGCCTAATTGTGACAGGATTAATTAGTTATTATTTAGCTTATGTCGCTCAGCTTGTTTATCCTGACAACACACCCTGGCCAACTGCAGCCAGCTACTGGTGTGATTGGGGGGTTGGACTTCCACCAGTAACTTCAGGAATATTTTCTTTTGTTGATAATGTATAGAACAAATACTGCAAAGGACAAATAATGTGTAGGAAAAATAATGTGTAGGACAAATAATGTGTAGGACAAATAATGTTTAGAACAAATACTGCAAAGGACAAATAATGTGTAGGACAAACAACATGTAGGACAAATAATATGTTGGACAAATAATGTGTAGGACAAATAATGTGTAGTACTAATAATGTGAAGGACAAATACCGTATAGGACACATAATGCGTAGGACAAACGGTATATAGAACAAATGATTTGAAGGACAAATGATGTGTAGGACAAATGATGTGTAGGACAAATAATGTGTAGGGCAATAAATGTGCAGGAAAAATAATGTGTATGTAGGACAAATAATATGTAGATCAAATTATATGTAGGACAAATAATGTGTAGATCAAAAAATATGAAGGTCGTAAGACATATAATATCTAGGACAAATACTGTGTAGGACAAATGATGTAAAGGACAAAAGGAAGTGTAGGAGAAATCCTTGGAAGAACAATTACTATAGGACAAACAATGTGTAGGACAAATAATGTGTAGGGCAATAAATGTGCAGGAAAAATAAGAATAAGGACAAATAATGTACAGGACAAACGGTATATAGAACAAATGATGTGTAGGACAAATGATGTAAAATACAAAAAGATGTGCAGGACAAATTATGTTTCCCTTACATACTGTAGAACAAATAATATAAAAAAGAAAAAATCCAACCAACCGAGGAAGTTAAAGAATCCTATACTAAAAGGACACGTCACCGTTACGGTACACCATATGTGTAGGGCTGGGCAAAGTTCCGTTAACGAAATGGAGGTTTTCGAAAATTAACGGATGAGTTCATTTACGAACGGCAAAAACCGTTAATTTTCAAATCGTTAACGAAACGGATTAGCTGTTTTTGAAAAAAAATCAACGGTTTAAAACGTTCACTAAAAAGCTAAAAACGCTAAATTTCGTTATTTTCTGACTAAAATTGCATAACGTTTTTTCTTAAATTTTAAAATTTTACGCGTTTTGATGTCTAAAAATATCGTCTTCTGTGTTTATAACCGTTAACAAAATTTGTTTCGCCGTTAATACTGTATACTGTAATATACCGTTACTGTTTATGCCGATAACAATTTTTTAACCGTTAACAACATTTTTGATTTTAATTTTGTAATTACGGTACCAATAATGGCTAGAGCCGTTAACAATTGTTGAAATTTTTTCGTTAACACCGTTAATAAAATTGAGATCGTTAACTAACGGTAATTTTAAAAAACCGGGAAATGCCGTTATCGTTCCTTTCTTACCTTTAAAATTAAGGGCTGACTTTTTATTTTTAAACGGTTTGAACTGACCGTTAACGGAACGGCTAGAAAAGGTTGATATGTGCCCAGTCCTACAGTTATGTAACCCCTAAAATCTCTCTTCAACTATGGTTTATCCAGTGGAAAAATTGATTATTTTTAATAGTTGGTTCTCTTTTGTTTACGGCAGATACAATACCATCTTTTCTGAATTTAACACTTTTCAAGGTACACAATTGACG